GTTGCCAATAAAAATCTGCAAAACATAGGACAGTTAGTCAAAGCGATAAGAGATAATTCCTGAAACAACTTGCCTATGCCTCACTAACCGTGGTGTTAGTACTATCATTATCTGGTGGAAGCACCTGCACAGGAGTTGTGTATGCTGGAGCTGGATATACAGCTGCAGACATATCCATGGGTAAGTGCATTTTAGAATTTCTTTCCTTCATATGCATTTAAGTCACTAAGTCTTCATACATACATGAAGCTAATATCAAGTATGGCCACAGTACCAAAGAGCAACATAAAGATAGATATAGGTACAGGTAGTCAAGTCCTTAGACCACCAACCCCGAACAAGTATAAACATTGATGTACATCAAGTCCACATCTCAACTAAACTAACAAACAATGTGAACATAAATAAATAAACCTCAATTGACATGGAATTAGCAAAAAAGTTGCATACAGAGCAAGAATTCCAAACAAGTGCGACATTTAAGTTATGAATAGAAACACATTCTTGTGAGAAAATATCCTCAAAGCAACATATCAGCAATGTGATCTTCAAAGTGTACGAAATAACATTAATTTCATTGCTTTACTGCTTCATCAAATCACTATTAAGCAAGAGAAAAAAGAGCGAACTGCATTACAGACATTGGGGTAGATTTGAGAATTGATATGAGTAGCTACAAATCAATTTAAAATTATCAAGTGATGCCGTTTTTTCATCATGCACCCAGGTAATAATGGATAGCACAATCAAATTGAGCGCAGCCACACAAGGGCAATGGACCAAACAGAAGAGTGACATGATTTCAGAGGCAAGAAAATGAATAAATGAATCTGGCTATAGTTTTCTTTTGGCAAAAGTTAATGAAAGGAATAAAACCTTTTGCCACAGCATACTGCTGCTGAAAACCAGTGGTCTTCTTAGGTGTTGCTGCACTAATACGCATAGCTCTAGTTGAGCAATAGACACCATTCATCTCGGTCATAGCACGATTTCTCTCAATCTCATCAGAAAATTTAACAAATCCATATCCCTTTGAGCGTCCAGTATTTGGATCAGTCACAACCTTGGCACCTCTAACAGATGGATAGTGAGCTCGAAAGGTTTCTTGCAATAGATAATCTGTGACATCAGGTGCCAAATCCCCAACAAAAATAGAATGCTCAGGCCCAGGATCTGTACGTCTTTCTCCAATGCCAAAAGAAGCCCAATTTAACCTGAACATTTGATCTGTTCCAGGCATTGGTGTCCCATTGTAAGTCTGCAGTATCCTTTCTGCTGCCGCATGAGAAACAAACTCCACAAATCCATATCCCTCAGGCTGGCCAGTGATCTTGTTACGTATAATTTTTATTGAGACTAGCTGCAGAGATCGGAAATAATGGCTCATTTTGAAGGCAACATCCACTAGAAAGCTACAAGCTTTGAGTTAGGGTAAAGGAAACAATACATCATTGAACTTTAGCATCTGATGAATTTGATAATACCTGAATTCTAAATTTACTGAATTATTGTGAATGTTGCAACCAATGCAATTCCCAGAGTTTTCACAAGTTTGATGATGGCTTGAACCAACAACGGGTATGCATAATAGGTGAGGTTAGAGCAACTGAATAGGATAAAACAAATGGTAGAAGCCAAGACAGATTATTGCTAGCATCCTATAATCAATATTAATTCAACTAGCCTGATAATTGACAATCTAGTGAAGCTCTTCTCTTAGCTCTCTGCTCTTATCAGCTGAGCATTAGTCAGATTTGTAACCTGGCTCTTACTTTGTGCACATTGAAATTACTTGCGGCAAAAGGCAGTTGGGTTGATTAACGCATAGGTTTTAGAAACCTCTCAGTTATCCCTCCTATGTTTTGCAGTGGCAGCCAAATTGCTTTCACACACTACAGTCCTTATTTAATTCATGTCACATTGCTTTGCAGATGTTTAAAAAAAAATTAGCACATGCTTCTAAGCCATGTGCTATATACAGGTGATTTTTTGTTTCTTGAACTCATAAGTGATTTAATAATAATTTGATAAAATTCATATCTACTCAACTGTTGACATTTGGCCCAAAAAAACTCAATTATGGATAGGATCCTATTTCAATTTATAATTTTATTATTGAACAAAATGTGAACAGATAATTCTAAGAACACAACGAAACTTGAAATCCTTTTACATCTAAAAAATACTTTACCACCATCAGCATTTTCGTATGTTTTACACATAAAGACAGCCTAGAAAAACTCCCACAACAAATTATAGTCATCAAATTAAGCAACGACCAAAATTTATTCCAATACCCAAAAAAAGAAAACCCAGAAATATTATAGATAGATACATAAATTTTGAGTATATAAAGGAGAGAGAGGGGGACAAGTATGGGAACCTCGCCAGTGTGAGCGAAGCAAGAGTTGAGATAGGACTCATCGACCCAAAACTGGAGGTCTCCTATCCAAAGCGTACGGACTTCCTCTAGCGATGTTGGATGGTGGTGGTGTTGTGGTGCTGCTATGGTCGCCATTGCTTATGGTCTTTCTGCCGCTTTCCGCTTTGCCAAATTCCACACAATCTCCCCTTTCTTTTCAACGAAAGCTCTGGGTTGAAGGGTCCATAGGCGAATCACGGGCTGGGCCTTGCTCTGGCTCTTGTTTCTCTTTCCCAGCCTTCAAGTTGAAAAGGTCTTCAAGGCCTTTCTTGGATTATTATTCCTCGAATTGCGAATTGGCTTAAATGGTTTATGGTTATACGCGTGCCAATTTTTTAACTCACTTGTACAGTTCGTAAGATTACTTTTATTTCTTTTCAAATTTTTACAATTAAAGTGTAACTCTGTATCGATTATTATTGGTCTCAAAGTTTTTTAATTTTATAAACGGGTTTAAGTAATATTTTCATTTATTTACTTTTTAACTATAATTTAATAAACATGGACAATTTTTAAATATATTTATAAAATATAAAACCTTTATGGTGAATGTATAAAATAATTTTAATTATATATACACACACATAGTTACATATACATTATGATAAAATATTTTAACTCTACTGACAAGCTGAGATAATTGATACATAAATCATTTGTACAATGATCTACTCGTATATTGTTTTTATTTGGATTTGTTCGAACAGTTTAAGAAAATTTAACATTAAGGCCATATATAGGGCAATTTTCCAAACATTAGTTCGCTTTGCTGGTATCATTCACGTACTGATGCACTCATGAAAAGAATTGTTAAGACAAGAATAATTTTCATATATTAGGGTAGAAAATTGACAAATTCATAGACATTGATGTGAAAAACCTTCCCTTGATCATTCTAAAAGAATATTTTGATTTTTCTTATCTTAAAATACTATTTTTAATTTTCTAACCGTGAATACAGTTATTTAACCGTTAAAAAAATGTAACCTAATATCATATAAACATTATAGACTCAAATACCCTCTAAAAACACTGCTCAATCTTTCTTCTCTCCCAGAAACATTAAACCAAAAAAATAAAAAAATAAAAAAAAACTAAAAGAATTTTGATAAGCTGTTTCTAAATTTTCATATTTTGCATTTTAGTCCACTTGAAAAATCTTGTAATAATCAACAAACATTGTTCCAATTCCCTTTTTTTTCCTTGGTGTTGCTTCAACAATTTTTTCTTTTCTCTTTGAATTTTGCTTTGTCTTTCTTTTTCTCGCAACTTTATCTGTTTTAAATAAAGAAACTTTGATTTCAAAAGAAAAAAGAAATATAAAGAAATTGTTAAAGTTTCTTAGTCACTACCTTTGAAGAGGAGAAGATTTCATTAACATTGATCCCATGCAGGCTGCATTCGCCAAGGTCCTTTTCCCTTTCGGATATTATCTTTTTTTAGTTTTCTATCTTTTTTGGGATCCAAATCTTGTTTTTAACATGGGTTGATTTGTGTTTCTTTTTCTAATTTTGTTATTCAACAGTGGATTTCGTTTAAAATCTTGTTTTCATCCAATTTCAGTGAAATATTTATCACTGAATAAAAAATTTACTTTTAATTCTTTCTGTTCAAAGAAAATTATTCTCAAACTATTGAAGAAATAAAAAGTAGGATGAAAATAAATTTTATTTTAAGAAATAAGTTTAGGGTTTTCAATTTTAACTTTAAATTTTCATAACATTCAAACTAAGATTCCTTTGATTTCTAAGAAACGACATATAAAAAAAACAAGATAGTGTTTGCATCTAACTACCAACCTGTACCGGTAACTTTACACAAGGGATGAAGGGTGTGAGCAGGTCAGGGATCAAGTGAAAAAGTTCGCAATAAGAATGCTGTAAGCAGTTCTGATCAAGTTCGGGAGAAGGATAAGTAGATTCTTTTAAAGAAAATTTATCTAATTCTTTTTAAAAAAATGATATAAGGGGCATATTTGTTCTAAAATATTTATGTGATATAGCATTTAGTTTTTGTTTAATTGAGAATTAACGATGTTAACACAAAGAATCAAAGTGTTGTTTCATAGCAGGGATAATTTCATTCCATCATGAAGTGATTTGGTTTTTTTCTTATGGTGATTTGGTTTGCTTATGTGATGTTGCATTTAGTTTTTGTTTAATTAAGAATTAATGATATTAATAGTTAAAAGATCAAAAGCATTATTTAAAACAAAAAGAATCAAAGTGTTATTTCATAATGATTGGGGGAGGTTTTTGGTTTTTTTCTTATGGTGATTCTTTTTTTTGAAAGGGATAATTTCATTCCATCATGAAGTAGTTTGGTTTTTTTTCTTATGGTGATTTGGTTTGCTTAGATTTTGAGTTCTTAAAAAAAAAAAAACCAAATTTAATCTTGCTGTCATGTTCTCATTTACGCCATGTATGCCCAAAAAAGGGGGAGAATCACCCAATGGCACGAAGAATGGCCCCTTCCAAAAGTGGCTCTTAAGACTCTGCGTAATCCACGTGTATTCCTGGCAACATTTCTCTACAACCCATTAACCATCTCTTAGTTTCTTCTTCTCTTTGCAATTGACCTTCTCTCCCTTCGCAGAATCTGGATTAGGTAAAAGAAATCCATGGCAATTCCAGCTGCACTTGTTGTTGTTCCTGTTGGGGTGCTCTTCATTCTCTCTGGTCTCATTGTTAATCTTATTCAGGTATTTAAGCAATGCTTCCTTCCATTCATTTTATCTCTTTTCTTGAGTCTATTTTTGGGTACCCTTTTCTATACTTTCTTATTATTTACTACATTTAATATGTTTTATTTTATAAACTATTCCTTTTATTTTTCATGAAGAAAACATAATGTAGCTCTACTTTCAGGCGGCCTTACTTGTCCTCCTTCGGCCATTGTCAAAGAGTTTGTATAGAAGGACCAACAAAGTAATTGTGGAATTACTATGGTTGGAGCTCATATGGCTCATTGATTGGTGGGCAAGCATTAAGGTTTTCAATATTTTTCTCTTCCAATTGCCTCGACTATGTTCATCAATTAATTTCTTTCTTCTTTCTTTCTGAAAAGTTTCATATGTGATTAATTGTATGGAGCAATCCAACCTATGCTTGGAATCTTTACAATCAAAATATTTTGGTGGAGTACACTTATCATGCCATGCTTCTACTTTATAAATTTAGCAACATTGATTCGCTAAAATTCCTTTATTCTACTGTGTGTTAAAGAAGTAATATTTGTCATATCTTATGGTTGCAGATTGAGTTGTACACAGATGCAGCAACATTTCAATTAATGGGTAAGATGATGGTTTTGTAGCAATTCAATCCCTAAATTCTTTTGTATTAGTTGGAAGATTATAAACTGGTGCAGATCATTTAATGTTTGTAATAATTCTAGGTAAAGAACATGCTCTGGTCATATGCAATCACAGGAGTGATATTGATTGGCTTGTTGGATGGGTCTTAGCGCAGGTGCTTACTTATCCTTGTATCATAATTACCCATTCATCAATGTTTTCTTATTCTTTTTTGGCCACAATTTGATGTATATAAAATAATGTGTCTGGATAAACGTTTCCAGGAGCGGGTTACCAGCTTAAGGTGTGGGCTCAGCCTGTCATAGTCGCGTTTGGCCATAGATTTTTAATCCAAACTAGATCAATTAATTTATTTTATTAAATCTTAATTTTAAAAAATATATAAAATATTAAAGTGTTAATAGAAAACAATGATTAAATAGATAAGTTTAGCCGGATTCAAATTTTGTGTTTTGTTTTTTTTTTTTAAAAAAAAAGAGAAGCTCAATAAACCTGATCTGACTTGATCCATGAACAATTTTATGTCCAAATTCATGAAAATGTTTCTTAGTTTTGCTCATGACAATTAACACTGCAACACAACTAGAACTTTAGTTTCACTTTTCTTGACACATATTTCATTTATACAATTAAGTCTATCCATACCTACGGGGGTTTACATATGTGGGTTGATCAATTTTATATTAGATTTTGTCTAATTATATGCTTATTAGCATGTTTATTTTTTTTATTATTCGAATATGATTGTTGTTGTCATTTTTACTCCTACTTGTAACTATATAAAATAAAATTGAAACTCAAGTTAAGGAGATTTCCCTTATGCTTAATTGTTTTTTTCAGTCAAAGTCAAATTGTTATAGATTTTATGATGAATTCAATTTTATTTCTGTTTTTGCAAAAGATTTATCCTCTCTTTATTCATATGTCTTTTCTTTCTTTTTTGTCTATATTTAATAGAAAATTAATTTGATTGCAGCGCTCAAGTTGTCTTGGCAGTGCATTAGCTATTATAAAGAGATCAGCAAAATTCCTACCTGTAAGTTTTCGTTTGATCTAGTGGCTTTTGCTATATACTTTTTAACAAATTCTTTATAAACCAATTTATGTGTAAGCTATTAGCTAAAATTAACCTAGTCTTTTGAAGGAACATTCTTAATTTTCAAATCTAATAAATATTGGCTGGTGAAATTTAATACCATTCAGAAACAATATTTCTTCAGTTTGTTACTTAGAAAGAAATGTCAAAAGTTCTTATTCCTAGCTAGGAGGGTGCATTGTTTCTCTTCACTGAAATTTCCTGAAATAGCCATTTGAGGTCTATTCCTCAAAATCCCTATACAATTTCTTTCTAAAACAACGTGAGGTACTACTGTAAACAAATAAAATGTGAGCCGGTGATGGAAAGAAAAACTGAGCGGACTTTGAAGTACAGGAAGTGCTGTGGAAATATGATATCTGATGAGAACAGAAATCCCAAAGAGTGAAAAATGAGGAAAATATTTTGAAAATAGCAGAATAATTTGTTGATGTATTTTCAAAATAAAATATTATCTTTTTATATGAAAAATTATTATAACTTAAAGTTTATGTCACATAGTGTGATAAAATATGATTATTAGATTGTCGGTGTGTTCTCATATAAATAATTATGTCCCTTAATAAAGAGATATTTTGAAAAAACATCTCTACATCTAAAGATTGTGAGACAACAAGAAAAACACCACAGATCAAAAGCTTAAATATAAAAAGTTATCTTTTCATATTGTAACTCAAAGATTATATCTTATAGAATTAATAGTTGTCCTATCATAAAGTAATTCTTGAAACAATATTTTTATTCAAGGATTGTATCTTACAAAATCTAAAAGTGTCTTTAAGATAAAAAAGTACCTTGATGAAAGGATTATGTCATTGAAAAAAAACACTTGCAAGCCTATACAAAGGATTTGCTATCAACCATTTTGATACAATAAAAAAAAAAGGCAAGAGCAGAAAAATTAAAAACAAGATAAGTGTTTATGTTTATGGTCAAAACATATATGTTTTGAAAATAAACATAAACACTTGAGTTCTCGTCAATTATCGAAGGAATCTAAATTCTTTATAATCTACTTACTACAAAAAGTAGACTCTAAAGCTGAATAAGTTTGCAAACACTCAAGTGTATCTAACATTCTACTCTTATAAAGTGTAAGACAAAGTTAGATATTGGCTTCATTGTATCTCTAAGGCTATTTGTATAATTTTCCTTTGCACACCAAGTAGTAGGGGCGAAACAAGTTGTAAAGATAGCGTTTATCGAAAGGCTTGATTTAAAGTTAATTTTGTTGATTTTTTGAATTCCAGTTAAACTCCATTTGCACTAACATAATCTCAAAAGAGTTGTTCAATATCTTACGCATCAGTAAAATAAAGAAAGAAAGAAATCAATTACACCCACACAAGAACAAAAGATATTTATGTGATTCGGTCTTTTAATGGCATATACCCACGGGCACAACAACAGTAAAAAATTCATTAAGAAAAATTAAGAGATTACAAGAATAGTCTTAAACTCATAACTTTTATCCCATTTACACCCAAATCACTGTCTCTAGATCTAGGTGCTAATTAAACTCCTTTTTGGCTTAATGATATTCTTTAACCCCATATGATTCTTCTATAGGGTCAAGTACAATAATTTTATCTTAATTTGACTAGTATTTGATATCCTAGTCTGACTAGAAATAAAGACTATCTTAACAAGGTATGCTAATTTAGCTAGAATTAAAATATCCTAGTCAAACTAAAATTTGAGACTATCATAACAAATCTCCATTTTGGCTTGAATTCACCAAGCTCCACATTATGAACCAATCTTTGTCATCAACATTAATGCCCAATAAGGTCTTAAGCTCTATGAACACCAATCAAATCCAAAAAATGCTTGAACTTTATCCCGAAAACTAACTTAGTCAACATATTTGCAAGATTTTCCAACTGTAGCTATTTTCTTCACTACTATCTTACCTCTAAAAACAATCTATCAAACAAAGTTACACTTGGCTTGGATGTGTTTGGGTGTTTCATAAAACATCTGAGTTTTAGTCAAATGTATAGCATTTTGACTATCACAAAATACAACTATCTACGCTTGTCCAAAACCAAGATCAATAAACAAGCTTTAAAGCCAAAAAGCCTCCTTCATTGCCTCGACCACACCATACATATAGATTCAATTGTAAACAAAACGATGTTGATTGGACAATTGGTTTTTAACTAATTGCAGACCTTGAGAGAGTGAACACATTTCCTATTTGAGATCTTTTACTCTCTAGATCATCAACGACATCTAAATCGAAGAAGCTGAGCACATTATAACTAGGGTTTACACATCCTTCATACATTGAGCCAACATCTATAGTGCCCTTTAAATATTGAAGGATCCACTTCACAAGTTATTAATGTCATTTTCTTGATATGTACATGAATCTACTAACACACTGATAGCATGTGAGATATCTAGCCTATTGCACACCATAACATACATAATGCTGCCTACTAAATTGGCATAAGGAATTCAAGTCATGTACTCCTACTTATCCTCCGATTATGGTGATAAACCAATTGAAAGTTTTAGGTGTAACCCCAATGGAGTAGTCATGAAATTGACATCTTGCATCCCAAAACGTTGTTGTACTTTTTGAATGTACTTCTTTTGTGACAAACATATCATGAACACACATCTATCTCTAATAATCTCCATACTTAATTTTTTTTTGCAGCACCTAAGCCTTTCATCTCAAACTCACCATTAAGTTGCTCTTTAATACATCGATGTCTAAAATACTTTTAACAATAATTAGAAAACAAATCATCTAGAAGCTTTCTATGGTAGACACAACTATTATATAAGCTTCTAGTATACCTATGTGCCTGCATGAACATATCAAACCTTTTATACCATTGCTTAGGAGATTAGGTCAAGCCATATAATGACTTTGTAAGTAGACATACATAGTCTTCCATACTTGGAACAACGAATCTGTTAAGTTGTTTCATGTAGATATACTTTTCAAGCTTACCATATAAGAATGTTATCTTGACATCAGGTTGCTCCAACTCAAGGTCCAAATAGGCCACTATAGCAAGCACCACTTACATTGAACTATGCTTTGAAATGGGAGAGAATACCTTATTGTAGTTGATTCTTTCTCTCCTTGTGAATAGCCCTTTGCCATAAGTCATGCTTTAAATTTAACACATTCAACCCTAAGATCCCTTCTTTTTTCTTGAAAACCCATTTTCATCCCACAATTTTTTGGCTTTTAGGTGGTTTCACAAGCACCAATATTTGATTTTGGTGTAGAGACTCAATCTCTTTATTAATATTAATAAGTCACTAAGAAAACTTGGCTCATGTAATTACCTCAAGATAAGTGTAAGGTTTATTAGTTTATACTTCTTTAGTCACAAATAAAACATAAGAATTAAATTCACCATCAACATAAGTAAAGAAAAAAATCATACTTTTGAGGTATTCTTAAAATTTTTTTCTTGGTATGTTTGTAGCAATGCTTCATTGTTGTATATGAGGTATCGGTTCTTGTACCTTTTATGACTCCTTCTAGATTTCACTACTATTCTACATTATCCTTGGAGCATTAATTTCAAGCATTTCTTGCTCACCAAATCCTTGGTTTGATGTGATTGTAATCTAGATTTGTCCCATGAAGTAATGTAGATTAGTCAAAGGTAACATTCGAACACATCATGAACTTGGGGGATTTCAAATCAATACACCATAACTGATAACCTTTTACCCCATATGGATAGCCTAGGAATATGCATTTCTTTACCCTTAACACAAGCTTACCATCACTCACATAAGCATAAACAAGGTAACCAAATACTTTTAATAGAGAGAAATTAGCGAGTTTACCTAACCAAACTTTCTTGAGAGTATTTATTTTAATTACATTTAATGGATACCGACTTACCAAGTAGTAAGTTATGTTGACAGCTTTTGTCTAGAATACTTTGGGTAGATCAACATAAGAGGGCATGCATCTTGCTCTATTTAGAAGTGTTCTATTCACCTGCTTTGTAAAACTGTTTTGTTGTGCTGTTTTAATGAGAGTGCAATGTCTAATGATTCCTTTATTCTTCTAGACAATATCAAACTCATCTTTGCAAAATTTCAAACCATAGTCTATTTGGAATTACTTAATCTTTTTACCAGTTTGCTTCTTAATCAATGCCTTCCATTGCAAAAAGGAGATGACCACTTCACTCTTAACCTTTAGCAAGTAAGTATAGACTTTCCTTAAGAAACTATCAATGAAGGTCAACATGTATAATGATTTTGTTTTTATGCCACCAAAGAAGGACTCCATAAATATGAACTTATGTAGCCTATTATACTTTGGGTCTAATGAATTGCAGTGCTAAATTTCACCCAATGTTGTTAGCCATGTACAGAAATCTAGCTTCTCAATCTTTTGATTACATAGTAAACAATGCTTACTTAGTTTTTTCATCCTCTCTCATTGATAAACATGTGACATCTTCATTAGGATCATTGGATAAAACTATGGAAGTGGTTCCCCATTAAACGATAAAGGCTACTCAACAGCTCGCCTTTCATGATAGTTAACACTTCTCTATATACCTTTAAGACACCATCTTGGCCACCCAATTTGTGGCCTTTCTTATTAACAAACTCAAGGATATCAAGTTTTTCTTTATGTCAAGGATATGTCTTACTTCAAGTGTTTTTACCATACCATCAAACGTCTTGAACCAAACGATGCCAATCCCAACAATTGAGAGCGAGAAATCATCTCCTAATTATACATTACCCATATCAATAGATTAATAAGTTGTAAACCAATCACACTTAGGATATATGTGAAAGTAATAACCTGAATCCAAGATCCATGTATCCATCAAGTTATTGTTCATAACTACAAGAACACTATTAGCTTCCTTAAAAGTATTAAAGTCGTCATTTACTACACTTGCAACATTCTTAAACTTGTTGATCTTTTTATCACCCTTGAATTAGGTATAGTCTTGACAGAAGTGCCTTTTCTTACAACAATATCAAGAAACATTCCTTCTTGCTCTAGATTTGGATTTAGATTTAGATCTACCTTTTCTATCTAGGGCCTTCTCTTTACTCCTTTTTTTATTCACAATCAAGCTTTCAGTTTGATTTTTACTCTGGGTATCATCAACTTTCTTCTTTAATTCTTTGGAGCTTAAGATGCTCCTACATGCTCAAAAGTGTGGGTGTTTTGACCCTATAACATATTGTAAGCTTTGATCCGTAGGAGTTGGTGTTGTTCAATTTTCTAACCACACAAGTATACGCATCGCAAAGAAAATATAGTAATGAGTAGAGTGTCAATCCCACAAAAAATTAAATTAATTCTTATTGTTAACTATTAAAATTAACGCACTTTAATTTTATCTAAATAATTAAAATTAAAAAGAAAAATTGAAACTAATAAATTAATAACTAAAATCAATATATCACCAATTTTACTTTTAGTGATTACCAGATCTAAGATTATGATATCCCTTAATACTTCATCTGAATATTGTCTTTCCCTCTAAACTCAGTTTAGTGGATTAAGTTGCTAACCTAGTATCTTAAATTATTTACAAATTTTCATCGAGTTTCTCATAAAACAACCTTTCTCAATTAATTTACTATATGTCTATACAAATTATATTGAAGAAAGATTCATTAAGTGTGTGCTATAATTTTGGCTACGTATAGCTTATACGTATATGTCTACCCTATATGTAAATCAAACTACCTAATCAACTAAATACATTCGATCATACGCTATTCTATTCAAGGTCTACTTAAATCTCCTTCGTCAAGGTTTAACTTAGATTTTCAATTCAATCCAATTGATGGCCAGTCAACTAAAAGCATTAAGAACAGAATAAAATAAACAACTTAAATCCATCAAACATAAGTAAAAGAGAGATAAATAATTCAAACTACATATTGAGTTTAATCATAATCTTAGATAAAAATTTTAGTTCCCCATGAAGTCACACCTCATCATTAAATAAAATTTAAATATTCAAATCAAACTAAGAAAAATAAGAAAATAACAAAAAGATAGAAAAAACCAAGAATTGTATTCTTGATCTCCAAATCTCCTTGGATCCTTCAAATTCTTCTTAACTTCAATGACTTTGTAGCTTGACTTTTAGCTGTCAATTTGGTATTTTTTTTCTCCTCTTTTAAAATTTCTTCGAAAAGTTATTTTTATAGACTTTGAGATTAGGCCAAATTGGGTAAAGAAACAAGTCAATTTCATCTGGGATTTTCTCATTAGACTATGTGGATCACAGTCTTGCCTAATTAATTAATAGAAATCGTAATTGCTCTAAGATTGCTACAGCAAGTCAAATTTGACAAGATTTTTGACCACCTTTCAAGCCTAATTGGACAAAACAGTAAGCATAAAAGTTGTATATTTTTCTCTTATCTTTCCAATGGTTTAAGAATTTCTTCATTTGGAGCTTTATAGAGAAAGTTATGGTCAAAATACCGAAACATATGCAATAGAGGTCTGCACTTTAAAATTGCTCTCTTTCTTTCATCAAAGTTCTTCTTTCATCAAACATATACAAAAGCACAAATAAATCAGTAACAACCTATCTTAACCACATGAACACCAAATTAATCATAAAATTAACTAAGATTAGATTGACTCATCTAAATTAACTAATTTAAAATAATTAAATTAAATCTATTAATTTCTAAGCATTACTACAAGAACTACGCTAAATTACTATCAAAATTAAGTCCAAATGACTCTATATCATAGAGTTATCAGTTGACGCAGAAGATATGATGGAGGCAAAGAACAAAGAAAAATTAAGGCTAGGTCTTCATCATTAATTTTAACATCACTATTCCTCAAATCAAGAATAATTTTGTTCAATTAATCAATGTGGGTATTAGTAGATGTACTTCATGCATGTTGAGAGTATAAAATCATTGCTTCATAATTAGGATTTGATATTCTAATCTAATTAGAAGTAAAGACTATCTCAACAAGGTATACTAATCTAACTAGAATTAAAATATCCTAGTCAAACTAAAATTCAAAACTATGACAATAGAATAGGAAATGAGCTAGTCTGTTCCACAAACAAATATGTCAGGCGTGTACAGAATCTTTAGTTTTTTTGTTTTGCAATAGAGGATATTTGAGTGGGAGGGAAGGTAAATGGGTCTTGCCTATGTCTAATTAGAAATTATGTTACTACTTTAGAACATTAAAGGAATGAAACTTGTTTTTGGCAATGGGTATGGCTAAGTTGACTACTATTGTTGGTTTGGAAGTTTGAAGAAAATGGGTCAAAAAAAGTGATTCATAAAGAAAAGGGAAGAAAAGAGAAATGAAGAAGACATAAAATTGATATGGTTGCAAATTATGCCATTGTACTACTTAAACGAATGCCGTATGAAAGTACTAAGAGTCTTGAGAGAAAGTTGTAAAATTTGATGAGAAAGAAATAGACATTTATGGTGCTGATTTTTTGAGTTTTTCTTGTATTTATGTTGGCTATGGTTCTATGTGCCTATACTGATTTTGATTTTAGTTGGTAGTGTCTTCAAGTTTTTTGTATTTTATTTTGTTCTTTACATCTGCTCAATCCTAGCAGCCTTTCTAGGTTGAGTGCTTGAGATTGTACCTTTCCTCTTATTTTTCTTTATTGGCTAGTGTGTGTTGATATTATTGTGAGCAATTATTTATGTCATTGTGTATGTATTGTAACTATTATTTTCCTTTTCTTAAGATTTAGTTTATCTTGTGTTATATCTTCTTCTGACTTTGGTGTTGGTCTTCTTCTGACTTTGGTGTTGGTCCTTGTCATATGGTTGTTAACTCGTTTGGGAATTTGTTTTTTGTTTTAGGGTTTTGTTATGATATTGGTACTTGGTTTAATTTATCATTTGGTTGATCTTTTACTAAACTTAGCATGAGTTTTTTCTAGTGTTCATTTGTACTATCTCTTTTATATTAAAAAAAATTTATGCTTTTCAGTCGTATGGTAATTTTTCATTCAGATTGTTACTTTCAAAAACTGTATTGCCTAGGAATATTACATTGATTCCATAATATAGAAATGGTAAAATTTATACAGATCATAGGTTGGTCAATGTGGTTTTCCGATTATGTATTTCTGGAAAGAAGCTGGGCTCAGGATAAAGAAACATTAAAGGTAATAAAAATTTATACATGCATTTTTTAAGGCTCGTTTTGTACTCAAAGCTTACTATATGGGATTTTGTGTCGCAGTTTGGTTTTAAACAGTTAGAGGATTTTCCTATTCCTTTTTGGTTAGCTCTTTTTGTGGAAGGAACTCGCTTCACACAAGCAAAACTCGTATTAGCCCAAGATTATGCTGCATCTAAAGGGTTACCTATTCCTCGAAATGTTTTGATACCACGTACAAAGGTGATATTAATTTTAGTTGAAAATTTCACTTGAAACATTAATTGTGTTCCTTTATATTAATTTCTTTTTCCTTCTTGATGAGTTAGACTTAGGATGTTGCTTTATTTCAAATTTCCTGGAAAGATTTTTTGATTTAGGATACCTCATAATGCATTGCATGCGATTAATGAGTCTCATATAAAAGTTAAAGTTATTTTTACTAATAATAACATGGGATTAAGTTTTCGAAAGTTAACCATTTAAACCCACCATGTTGAAGTATGGGGGTTACATTTACTATCATAACATGTACATGATGTTGGCTCTCAAATTGTGCTAGTGTGATCTTGATTTTGTAGTTGTGAATTTTAATTGTGATAGTGATGTATGATTTTAATGAGGGCATCAAAAATTTGAGTAAGGAAAGATTATGATATCTCATTCTACATTGAATGTGAATAAAATCCATGAGTCTTGGGTAAGCGTTCAAATTATTTATTACTAAATAACTTTAGCTTAAACTTTTGAGGGACAATAATATTTAGGTAAAAAAAATAGTTATTCTACTGCAGCTTGGGTTTTGCTATTTACACTCTTAAGTTAACGCTTGTAGAAATTTTTGTTTTTAAATTGAATTTTGCCATAAACAAAGCATGTATTGCCACTAAATTTAGAAACATACTATAATCATTTATTAACGGTTAAGGAAATTGTTTGTCTTTCATGGTAGTATTGTTGGAGCATTATGAAATATAAACTGCAAAGTTCCAATTAATGCAATGAAGTGTATAGTTTATAGTAATTGTTTATTTTTTTTATCAGGGTTTTGTTTCGGCAGTATATCATATGCGCTCATTTGTTCCAGCAATTTATGATTGTACAGTGGCAATTCCAAAAAATCAGCCTCCACCGACAATGTTGAGAATGTTTAGAGGACAACCTTCTGTGGTATGTGGGCCAATGACTCCTTGAGAATAGTAGCATGGATTAGAGTAGATTTCGGAATAGTTTCATTTTACCTTTAGTTTATATTAAACTTGGTTTAAAAATTAATTAGTGTTTTTCTACATATGCTAGTTTTTTTACTTGATCTATTATAGGTAAATCTGCAAATTAGGCGTCATTTAATGCAAGAACTACCAGAAACTGTTGATGGCATTGCACAATGGTGTAAAGATATATTTGTGACTAAGGTAAAGTACTATTTCCAATTATGTTATCTAAAGCCAAAATTTTGTGAAAAAGATGTAGAAACCTCTCCAACGGTGTTGTTTGTGTTTTCCAAGCTAGTCTTTCAATGCTTCATTGGCAATACGCATGCTTGATCTTGATTGAATCAATTATACTAATATCTTTTTTTGGTTTTCTTCTAGTGTAAATTACATATTTAGTAATTTATATTTTTTAAAATGTTCTATTTTGATCGCTCAATTTTGAAAGAGATATAATATTTTGGTCCCTAACATTATACAAATAGTGCATTCTTAATCACTTTATCTTTAAATATTAGCAAGTCTCCATTATGGGATTCTATATCATCATTTTCTGCAATGTGTCTAAGTTTACATCATTATTTTGTGTTACAAAATGATGACATGAACTAGATCACTTGACACTAAATGATTACGTGAAATGTAAAAATGTAGATCTATTTGTGTTTAAAGGTTGAGTGATTAAGAATGCACCATTTATATAATTTTAATCACCAAATAATCATTTTTCAAAAAATAAATGATCAAAACAAATAATTTCAAAATTTTATATGACTAAATAAGTCATTTATTTGATATTAAACATGGAATCGACAATGGAAAGGTTCCTCCTACTTTTGTCGTCAGAGCTCAATGGACAATTAATTACTTATCACGCTAGACTTTGTAGGCTTATTTTAGCTTATATAAGTTTCATGCAATTTATATTAGTCTTGGTTACTCATTTCAATTGACTCTGCTATCATTCTGCTTCCCCTTTTCTTCCTAACCTTTCAGGATGCTATGTTAGAGAAGTATTTTACTACGGATGCATTCAGTGATCTTGAATATCAAGACATTGGACGACCTAAAAAGTCTTTGATTGTAAGTTAAAAAAATACTCGTTGCTTCCTTTGTTTACAAATTTTTCCCTTTAATCAAAGATTCACATGTACATTGTTGTTTAAACAGGTTGTGATTTCTTGGTCATGTTTACTTCTCTTCGGTATTATCAAGTTATTTCAATGGTTCTCTTTCTTGGCTTCATGGGAAGTCGTTGCATTTTCAGTAACATTCTTGGTCATTGTTACTATTGTTATGCAAATCCTCATTCATTCTTCTGAGTCGAAGCGTTCTACACCCCCTAAGGTATTTCAAGTAGATTCAACAAAGGAGAAGCTTCTCTGTTAAGACTTATTCAAATTTCACATATTTTCTCATATTCCGTAACTTCTAATTTTCCATATATGTATAATATCCTGGTTTTAACTTTGAATTTCTTTTGTATCTTTTGTTTTTATCCGACTCAGATAGTTTTTGTGCCAAACTCTGATAAGAGAAAAGACAGATTTGTATTAGAGTATGGTTCGTTATATTTTTTATTTTTATTGTTGCTTGTCGTTCTTTATGAGTTTATGAGTTTGTGATGTAATAATCTTTATTCTTACTAGGACCAAATCTACATATAAGGAAGCGTCATATCCATTGAAAATTTAAAAAAAATAAAAGAATAGTAATGTCTGTTGCCAAAAAACTACAGTTATGATTATTTGAAAAAAACACAATTATGTCTGTTGGGAATAAGTACCTTTACTTATAAAAAGATTTTCCTTTGGAACAATAGAACCTATAGAAAACAAAAACAACAATTTCTCCTTTCTTTTTTTATATTCTCTAAGTTTTCTTTTATATCATTTTTCTATAGAAAAATCTTATAGAAGTTTGATAATCTTGTCATACTTTAGTGAGTATTCAATGGATTGATTTTATCAGTACAAAACGCTATCAATCACTAAGCTTCATTATATTTTCGAGGTTTATACGCCGGTAACTCTTTTACACATTACAAGTAGAGGTGAATAAAACCTTAAGAAAAGTGACATTATTACACACTTTAAAGTCATTTCTTGATTTTCCAATTCCATATTCTAACAATTTTAAGGTTATATTTCATTTCAACAATGACCGTTACAAGTAGAACACTAAAGAATTTAACTTCTAATTTTTGTGAAATTAGAGCAGATTGATGTTGACAAAAAAAATAGCAAAATGATTTTTCATCGGATTACTAAATAAGCTTTCTTACCTTGATTGATTTGATTTGCGTGAATTCTCTTAACAATATCTACTATGAACAATTAATTATTAGAAATCTCAAGAACTTTTAATGATTTATGATCAAAGAAATTTCATAGAAAATCTTGTTATACAGAACTTGTTAAGTAGTAAACAAAAAAAGTGGTGTCCTTATCTAAGTTGAGTAACATGCATTCATAATTATTTTATAATAGGAAAAAGTGAGGAAACTTAGGTTATGGGGAAATTTATTATTTCTCTTCTCAATTTTTATATATATAATTGATTTTGGAGTTTTAAACTTTGCAATGGCAACAGTTGCCACATGGCAACAGCTGCCATCATTCTAATTCCTCTCACTGCCTCTTTAGTCTTAATCAATGATTAAGGGACCACTCCCCATTTTTTTTTTCAGCACCTTTTCCTTTCAACAAAGATTTAATTTATCTTACAATGTATTGGGTTGGGAACATTGCAGATCGAATTCAATTATTTTTAACCTTTTTTTTTGGAGTGAAATTATTTTTAACTGTTAAATAAGTAGGAAAATGAATATGACATGTATACAACCAGGTTTTGCTGGTTATGATGCTGACTTCAATTCCTTTTTCCTTTTTTTTTTCTTGTTATTTGCAAGACTGCAATTATGACTATTTGCCATTAGTTTGGAGAAGAAAGGCAGGAATGGTTGATGCAAACTAGAGCTGGCTTCACATAGACATCCTATATCCCAAGAATTCATGGTAGTCGAGATTAATAGTTCTTGATGTTTTGATAAATAAAGTATTTCAACTTTCACAGAGATGTACTTACCAAAAATAAAAAATAAAAAAATAACAGTCACATGATGAGTTATGTGCAAGGTTGGAAAGCACAACTCTCAGGAATCTGTGTTGTTGTCTTCGGGATGATGCAAAGAAATTTGATAAAGATTGAAGATTCCAATGAAAATAAATAAATAAATTTAAACGTTTATATCATTGTTACATACGGTGTTTTATCACATCAAATATACAAATAACTTTTGAAGAGGAAACACTCAAGATCCTGTGATTTTTCTTTAAAAATGACTAAGCATTTATTTTTAAACAAAAACTTTATGTGAATAGGATTGTTTGCTTCAATCGTAGGCAGTTTGGACTTGGGATACTTTCTATGCATCTTGTCTTTTGCTTGCTAGCATGTAAAAGCTTTTCAGTTTTTCGTTACTGCTATAGACACCCATTTTCTTTCTTTTAAATCATTTTTCCTTTTAATTTCATATTTTGGTTTTGTTTTTATTTTATTTTAAAGTAAAATATTCAAATAAATTAAGTTTTAATCATAATTCAATTTGATTCTAATAGTATTGAAAATGAACAACTTGTTTCAAAAGTTTATATATTATTGCACATATATATTTTGTCGTTAGTCCATTGTTAATTTTTTCATTTATCTAATGACGTGATATTAATTTGGTACCCATTTTACCCTTTATTTACTGACAATCTCTTTTGATGACCTATGAATGTTCTACTCTGTCAAACCCCCAAACCTTCATTTCTCCAAATGCTAATCTTTTTACTCAAAACATTACTTTTCAAGTTTCATGAACAATTTTCTTACCAGATACCATCCAGAAAAACACAAAATAATATGTACACAGAAAGAAACACAAGGTGCTACCTTTTCATAGCAGCTCTTTTAAACTTATTTATACACTTTACAAAATTAACCCATTAATTCCTTCTAGCAAGACCACCAACTCGACAGCTAGCATCAATCCCCATCCTCACAGAAAATTAGCCAGCAAAACAAAATTTCTCATTAATTCACAGTCACAAGTTGCAAATCAAATTCAAAAGTGGATAATAATTGATTGCATTGAAGAAATTCATTTTAGTCTTGGACATGGCTAGAGTGTGACATGTGGAAGGGTAGGTGTCAATCTGTTAAGTTGTTTCAAATTTCAATAACTTTCAATAGTCTTTTTTTGAAGGCAATAGATATGTTTTCATTTCTAGTGAAAAAATAATACAAAACTCTACCTATGTGTAGATGTGCAACCAACCCTATTTAGGACATTACCTATCAAGTGCCAAGAAAACCCAAAAAAAAAAAAAAAAGAGTTGCATATACAAGCTCTCTAGGAGGGTTAAAAAATATATCAAAAATCATAGAATTAAAAGCGGTTTAATAATTTCAAAGACCTAAAGTTAAATATTTCAATAAGATCTTTTTTTATTGAAATTAAAAAAATAAAACTTTTTTTATTAAAATTAAAGAAGAAAGAAAAATGAGGAAACGAAATTCGAATATTATAATTGAAAAAAATTGGTTTTATATATATAAAAAATAATAATTGGAGATCATTAAATGCATATTATCCTTAATTGATTGGAGCTAGGAGAAACAGTTGAAATTAATAGTATTGTGGTAATTGAAAAGTGATTAAAAATTGAGATTTATTAGGTACATAATTAGAAAAGTGAGAGAATATGTCATTTTATTAATTATTTTGATTTTTACATATTTTTAATAAAAAATAAGATAAATAGTGGATAATTAATTGAGATGTGGAAGAGAGAAAAAATACATATTTATTACGTATAAGAGAATAGGCAAATATTTTATTAATTATCTTAATTTTATATATTTTAATATAACTAATTATATTATTATTATAAAATTATGAGACTTTTAAAAATTTGATTGGAAAAAGGGGCAAACAAGCTGCAAAACGGTAGCGTTTTGGGGTTGAAGGTCCGAATCTGTGCAAAAGGCATTGAAGCGAGCCTGGAAGTTTCTTTTAGACTAGTTTTAGCCCAAGCTTTGTATGGTCTTGGATCTTTGGCTTATTGGGCTTGCTTTTTTGTAGTTTGTTTGGTATCAATTTTTATAAAATAGAATAATATAGTTTTAAGAAATATGATAAGGAAAATCTAAAAGATATTCATTTTTACGGTAGAGATATTAGAAAAATGTAAACAAGAACTTATGGAAATAGGAAGATATAAAAAAATAATAAATATAGAAAAGAATAAAATAAATAGTTATATAAAGTATACTTAGGTAGATAAGAAAAGAAAAAAAAAAGGATATTTGATTCTATAAATTATACTTAAGTGGACAGAAAAATTAGTAATAATAGTAAGAATAATAATATATTATTTGGATGGGACCAATGATGGAATATTTGCTCGAGATATGAGAAGTCATAATCTTGAGATAATTTTCTTAGGTGAAGAATTTTGTTAAAATCCCATTAGTATGATGGGAGGATTTTAACCTTAAGTCCCAATATTTCCTAATCCAAATTATATTTTATATTAATTAATAAGAAAATATTAATAAGTATCATTAATAAAATAAATAAAAATAATAATGATAACAATGGTAAATATATGGCATAAAAGATGATAAATATCAAAATTTATTACATGTCACCATCATATTATTTATATGTCATTGCATTCATTTAGAGATATTTTGTACATAAGTTGAGGCCCTAATGATGGGACTTTTCGAGAAAGCTTGTGAAGGCAAGTTCACTTATAAAATTCCCTAGGTGAAATAATATCTTTGCATCCCACTAATATGATGAGAGGTGTTGTTGGATTTATCATTCAAGTGCACGTATCGTTAACAAGTAATATAATGAAAAGTAGAGTATTGATCCCACGAGAAACTGTAAGCAAAATTTCACTAAGTACTAAAATTAGAAAAATGAAATCTTATTCAAACAATTAACTTAAATTAAAAAAATAATATGAAGAAACTAAAAGTAAAATTAGCAACAAGAATGACAATTCAAACTAGAGAAATCAAGCTAAAAAAGCCTAAGATTACAATTTTCCCTCAACACTTCATTCGAATCTCCTCTACTCTCTCTTAACTTATTAGAAATGCATGAGTTGTTAACTTAAAGTTCTAATATATTTATAAGTCAGTGTTAAGATTCTTATAAACATATATCTTTTAACCAATTCAATGTATGTCTATGTAAATTGAATTAAAGAAAGACTCATTAAGTTTAGACTATAATATTGGCTACATATGAGATGTAAGTATATTTTTATCTTACACGCGAGACAAATCAATCAACTAAGCTAACTGAATTTGAGCATATGCTATTCCATCCATTGCTTACACTAAACTCCTTCTCTTAAGTTGAATTTAGATTTCCTTATCAATCTAACTAGTGATTAGTCAATCAGGCGCATTAAACACATGATTAGAATACACAAAACTAAAACCAT